AAGCTGCTGGCTGAGCCTGTCTGTACTGCCAATGGCCTTGCATAGCCAAAGAGAACATCCTCCAGGCCCAAAATTACCCTGGGCTCAGCACCACTGGCAGTGACGAGACGTCCACATCATTCTGCGTGCGGGAGGCACACTATACATAAAGACTGTCAAAACTTATGCTCAAAACGCTTGCCGGTCGAACTTCCCACAGGCGTTCACAGGTGCCCCGCGACCCGCCCCGCTGTCCCAACCATCCCAACCCCTTGGGAAACAACAACCAACGCCCACATTCCACCGAAGCAAAAGGATGGGTCACGGTTCAGAGTGCCTACAAGGCAGCATGGGCGGAAACATCGTTTCATATCATGAAGCCTATTGAAGGGCAACTCCTCCAAAGCATCCTGTGCCCATTCATGGCTTTGGTGGGGAGGGGTAGTGCTCAAGTTGGCACGAGGCGTTCAAAGAAGTTTTGGAGCGTTCACAGCCCGGCAGGCACCTTCGAACAGCCCCTTACCACCTAGTTGGAGCAGGCACAGGGCCCATTTGACACTCCCACTCGCCCCTGCAACCAAGGTCACGATGACTCGGACGCCTCCCCACAGCCCGCCGGGACCCCCGCGTCCCGGACTAGGAGTCGATGTTCTCCAGCAGCCAGTTCCTAATCTTCCTCATCGGCACGAAGAACGACACCTTGCCCAGACCCTGGCAGCCCTCCCCCTCCACGGCCACGCCAACCAGTTCGTCCGTGCCCTGCCTCAGCATCGGGCCCCCGCCCGCCCCGGTGCAGATGCCCTGCAGCGCCACCTCCACGCACCCCATTCCCGCAAACCGGTCTCCCCCACGATCGTCATCATCCCCCTCCCCGCACTCGACCGTGGTCAAGTCCACCACCGCCGTGAGCGACTGCGCGAAGGGCCCGTTGGGCGACCTCCTGCCCCAGCCCACCGTCTGCAGCACCTCCCCCTCCTCCAGCCTGCCCACGTCCAGCGCCGGCGGGCAGATGCCGAAAACGGGCGGCTCAACGTGCAGCAGGGCGACGTTGTGCGGGCTGAGCGTCCTGCCATGGTACTTCGTGTGGAACACCACCCGCCGCGGGGACCTCACCTCCGAGAAGGGCGCGTCGAGGGACGTGCCGCCGAGGTGCACCTCTGGGAAGGGCACCGCGGTGGCGGAGTTAGCCGTGTCGACGCACCGGGCGGACGTCAACACCCACTGCGGCGCTACCAGCACGCCCCCGCAGAAGTGCGTGCCCGTGTCCGGGTCGCGCAGCGAGGCCACGTAGTCATACGTCCCCCGCCGGCATGCCCGTACCGGCGGGCCGTCGGGTGCCGGCGCCGGAAAATCCGCACCGAAGAAGGCCCCCGAGGGGCGCTGGCACCAGGCGCACGCCAGCAAAACCACCGCCAAAGTCCTCAGGGTCATCTGCGCGGTCCACAGATCATGGCCGGGGGGCCGATGCCCGCGCGATTGCCCCCCTCCCCCCTCCTCGGCGCGCCCTGGCGACGATCGCCCTGCGAGGGGATGCCGTCTGCGGCACCCGAAATGGCGTGATGTCGCACCAGGGGGTGGCCCGGCGGGGAGCCGTGGGTGAGGGCGCAGGGATTGAGGTGGGAGCGGGCGATCGCTGGGCTAACGGCGCGGCGGCCGAGGGGGGCCGTCGACGGGCTCGCTGCCGAGAACGCCCCCGCGAAGGGACGGGTTTCGGCGACAACGGTAAGGTGGAACAGGGGTGGGAAGGGGTTGGCCTGATGTGACACTTGGGGGTCTGCAAGGATACGACTGTGGGCCGGTCTCGTAATGCCCGACGGTCGGTGAAGTGGCAATGTACTTGCTCGGATCGGCGCGTGCGAGCGTCCAGCAGTAGTTTGGAGCGGAGTAGTGGCCCCAAGGCGGTGCGCCGCGCGGATCCAGGGTTCGATGATCAGGGCGATCGGGGAAGGGACCAGGCTGCTGCGTGCAAGCGCACGTGCCAGAGACGGGGCAGCCGGATGAGCAAAGCAGCCCACAGCGCAGGGTGGTCCTGCGGGGGTGTGCCTTTCCTCCAGGGCTTTGGGCTTTGGCTTGCACTTGCGGCCTGCTGAACCGCTTGGAAGTGATGCCAGCCCAATGTTCGCCCGGCATCTGTCAAGTTGCTTGGGTTGTCTTTGCTGGCAACTCCAGGGCAAAGACGCCCTTGAGCTTCGTAGGAGGTGATGGACAGGCAACGTCGAAACAATGTTGATAGGACCAGACCGATATTTGTTCGAAATCTCCACCTGCCCCACATGAAAGAGGTGGCATGTACGTTCTGCGCCTTCAGCAATGGGACACGCGTTTCAGGGCAAGCAGCAGCGGCCGAGGTATAGCAACCACGAAGTGTGAGACAACTAATGCCCTCTTTTTCCATTAAACTTTTTGTTGACTGCTTGACAAGTTGATCGATGGATGCATCGAATCATACTACGTAGGAAAAAAGGAAGGAAATTGGTGGACTTGGAGGACCAGCAACGGAGCCCCGAGCTCTGTGTGGACGTATCTCGTGAGGCCTCTCGTTGGCGCCATCGGAGTCAGCCATGAAGTGTGGACGCAGCTGTCAGCCGCTGCGTGTGTGCTTACCAAGGAGTGGTGTGAGCCGTCACCTAAGCTGGCGGCACAGAACCCAAACAACTCGTTCTTTCACAAACCACCCATTTCCTATTTCCCACCTCTGGGATCCTCATCGATCGCAAGGCCCATGTTGCGATTTAGTGTCCCGACACTTCATTACTGAAGTACAATTAACGTACGTACGTTTAACGTGCTTAGCGTATTAATAGTGTGCTAAACATGGCACTGGTGCCCTTTGACTCAGAGCCCGTACGGGGTGCGCGCTACTGGGACGCAGACCCTCGGCTTCAAAGCGTGGCTTACGCAGTGCACACACGGATTATAATTGGGTTTCCACAACCTCACAAAATGGCAGTTGAAGCACCTTCCCGTTCGCAAACTGCCAGCCCTTGGTACGCGGTTCCGTAGGCCCTGGGGAGCCGCCCACTGGGGTCGATCCCCACCCCTTGAGAATATTCACGTCTCGACGTCTAATCAGAACTGCGTTCAAATATATCACCATCGATTGCGATCAATCGTCCCACAGAGGGAGCAACCGCCATTAATGCACGTAACCAACTGCGTGCATTACTCCCATTGTTAACAATGACACGCAAACACATCGCACCAGCACACTGCTTTCAAAGGGCATTGCAATAATAATTGTAATCAGTAAGGTCCTGACATTGAGCTAGAAAATAAGCTTGTGTATGCATATTCTTAGACACTTGAGGTACTAGTGGAATCTCAAGTTTCACTGTACCACTGGAAGGGCGCATTGCTAAACTCTCTATAGATCCTGCTTACAAAACTTTTGTTTGCAATCATATCACAAATCTGTGACTGTCAACAAGGGGAATATGTATTGGCCATCCATTCAGAACTAATTGCAGTTTCTGGCTCCATCATTATGCAAATGTTCATTTTAATGAACACAATTGAATGTGTCAGCCAGGAATTAAGCCAAAACCTCACTAATTATTCTCAGCGAGAGTTCCTGACTATGCCTGCATGAGCGTGTGCTTCACGTGTCAATGAAAGCCCTCAGCCGTCCGGAGCAAACAACTTGGGTGCGTTGTGTAGGAGCAACTAACGCGTAGAAAGCTGTGAGAGCGATTTCTCAGAATGGGGTAAAGGTTTTGGCTCGATACGCACAATCCGCAAATGTGTTTTGATTGTGCATCGGCGTGAGTGACTGCCATGTTGCGCTCTGTTCCAAGTGGCAGATGGCGGACGTTGGTACAGCAAGCGATGAACGCTTGAGCGTTGGACAGCTGCAGTTGGTTTTTGCGTGAGGTCTTGTGCTGGTTGGCACCGCGCAGTGCGTGTACAGATGCACATGCCACACGCAGGGCGCTCATAGACGGTGGCTTAGAAAGCAGCGGCTGATCTGGTATATGATTGGAGGGCGCCAATGTCGACTTATTTCAGCAATAGATCCTTGCAGGTGTTATCTGCAGTGCAGTAAGCTTGGGCAGTTCGCATTACGAATATATTGGCCTTTTACTGTCCGCGAACCGATTGGTTATGTAGCCAATATGGCAGCGGCATATGGCAGCCATATCGGAAATCATGATTGTCGCGCTTCTGTGAACCCCTCCAAAAGCGATGGCGAGTGAATGAAATATTGCACGACGCTCATTGGAGGAGTTCGTGGCATTTCAAATGCTGAAAACTAAATACGTGAAGTAGCTACGCTATGTTTTGAAATGCGGACAGTCAAGTACCTTATGTGACAGGCCGTCTGTGTCGTTGCCAGTTGATGTGACGGTTAAGTGCGTACTCACGCTGTCCTAAACTTGCTAATGCTATCGCAGGCTACAACATGTGCGCACATTCAACCTGCAATAGCATGATTCTTGCGGTCGCCGAGGGGTCAGGGCTCACATCGGTGCGGTGACCATGTGATCGCAGGTTGCCACATAACCACAGTGTTGGGGCTGCATTTAATTTGACGCAGCTGGGACATTTTTTTTGTCTTGGATTGTGACGGCCATATTATTGAAATTAATGAGCTTGGTGCGCTGACCTCGATCTTTGGGTGGGTTGGAATATACCGTTGTTGATTTGAATGAGATCCACAGATCTTGCCAGCCACAGACAGGGGATTTGGATCTTTGTATTTGAACGGCTAGTCGTGTGAAGGTTTTGCCTCCCGGCTTGCTGGTGGGGAGCGCTTCGTGGCGCGCTTCCCAAACGCGTCCGCCCTTTCTACTGTCCCAAACCATGGCTCAGCGCCTTGCGCGTCTCACACAAAAAACCACAGAAAATGTTAAAAATGAGTAAATTGTGTAAAAAGGTGGACAAACGCCAGAAACTCGGCTTCCACCCAACCCACCCCAGCGACACCGACTTGGCAGCCCACCTCCACCATGCGCGCTCCGCGGGGGCCCGGCGCCCTCCGCGTGTCGGAGGGCACCGACCTCAGCCCGGCGGTGGCCCTGGCCATGAACTCCCGCGGCACCCACACGGCGATCGTCACCCCCGAGGCCATGCTCGTGATCTACTCCCGCCCGCGCGAGGACGCCACGCGGTGGAGCCGCGAGGTGCGCATCCCCCTGGTGTCGCGCAGCCCCACCGGCCTGCTGGCGTGGGCCAACGAGGAGTTCGGTTACATCCTGGCCGCCGGCACCGGCGAGGGCATCGTCAAGGTCTTCGAGCTTCGGCGGCCGCTCAAGCTGGCGGGCGGGGGCGAGCAGCTGGACTCCCAGCAGCCCGAGTGGTCCCTGGCGCAGTCGCTGGATCTGCGGTCGGAGAGGGGAATGCTTGATCTGTGCTTCGCACCGTATCAGTTTGGGCTGATGCTGGCCGTGGCGTGTGGGGACGGGCGCGTGGACGTCTTTGCGCCCAGGAGGCTGCTGCCTGCGGAGGGCTGGGAGGTGAAGCACAGGATCACCCTGCCGGAGGGGTTTGGGGATGCGTGCCAGCTGGCCTGGAGGCCGTATTCTGACGGCGTGCCGCAGATGATGGCGGTGGGGGGGTCTGGCGGGCTGTCCGTTTTCTCGTACAGGAGGGAGAGAATGGGGTGGGAGTCGGCGTGCCATGCGGAGGGGGGGGTGATGGGGCTTGATTGGGCCCCCAGTTTGGGGAAGCCGCTGGAGCTGATCGCCACGTTCGGCGCGGGGCAGGACGTGACAGTGTGGAGGCTGCGGCGGGGGGAGGGGGGGGAGGGGCTGGAGCTGGAGGCCACAGCGGTGCTGCGCCACACGGCGGGGGTGAGCAAGGTGCGGTGGGACATGCTGGGCGTGTCACTGGCGGCGTCCACGGAGAAGAACGAGGTGTGGGTGTGGAGCAAGGGGGCGGGCTGGGAGTGGGAGTGCAGGAGGAAGATAGTGGGGGTGGAGGCGGGCGGGGGCAGGGGGATAGAAGACACAGCTGCACAAGCCTGGGCCTGAGAATGAATTCCGATTTGGAGGGAACTTCCCTGCAGGCAGAGCACTGACCTTGCACAGGGAAGGATGTGATGATGCAGGGTTGTAGGGCCAGGGACAGGGGGGTTGTGTTGCAGGTTTGGGGGGGCCCACATGGGCTGGCCACTGGTAACTTGTACCATTGAAACGATTATCGATTATGCTGCACTGCTAAATGGGAATGGTGAAATTGTTTGATTTTGAATAATCGTTGCACCACCCTTGCTGGCGGCCGCTGCCAAGCACTGCAGCCGCCGCCAACAAGGATGGTGCAATAACTACTCAAATCAAACAATGCAAATACTGTTGTAAGGGAAAAGTTTGCAGGAAAAATACTTCTGCTTATTTCATGCTTGAGCAACTGGGCAAATGTATTGTCTGTGAACAGTGTTGCCCTGTAGCATTTTAAGCCCCTTCAGATAACATCCCCCAAGGTAGTTTGGCAGTATACGTTGGCTGCCACCTACTTATTGCGCATGCATACTCCTTTTTGGCAAAATGGGGGTTGTTTGCATAGCAAGGAGAAAATATGTCAACCTGCTTTGACCCATCTGACTGTGGAGAGGAAAATGTATAGGGCTCTTGCTGTCTTGGCACATTCCAACAAGAGTGCTTTTTACTTTTGTTGCTGCTGGTCAGAATGCATTGATGGCAGCAAATGTCCTTTGAAGGGCAGACAATCCGTCCATGACCAATTGCGTTGGAAACAATGGAATTGACGCAGATTGTCTTTTGCCTGTTTTCTTTGTCATTTGGGTACAGAAGCCCAGAGATAATGGGAACTGGGCTTTGGCGGCACACAGCAATGTGATGGTGCAAGTTAGTTGGCAAATGCAGCAGATGAATCGACCAATGCTCAGCGCACAATCTCTGGAGGTTCCATTCATTCACCAGCACTTGAATCATTGTATGAACTTTGTCATAAGCATGGCAATTCACCCCCCTTGCACCTTCGAGGGTGATTTCCGGCCAAACATTTTGCACAGGTTTTGGTCTTGGTGCTGCCTCCAATCCTTTCGCTGCGCACAGAATCCAACCGCTGCAGCTGCCCAGCCTATGCCATGTCTTTGCATCGGACCGCACTGGGGTGTTCTCCACAAGATATCTACGAGTCACTGTGGACTATTAGCAGATCACCGCAGTGGGAAGTCAGAATAAGGCACACAGCGCCCTTCGCGGCGAACTCCGCCTCGCGGTCGCCTGCGAACTTCAGGACTCCGGCCTTTGCACTCTGTGTATTACACTCTGTGTAAGGATTGGCAGTCCGGGACTGACGGGGAGCTGCGTGAACCGGCACAGGGGCCTGGACGGATAGTCGCATCCAGCCGTAAGGGAGTGTCCGATCACAGCACGGACAAGAAATAGCAGCGATCGCGCCCACAGTTCCCCAGATCGGGGTTTGAAGTACGGCAAGGACAAGGTGGGACTCAGTCGAAAACAGAGAAAAAGAGGGCAAAGAGAAAAGAGCAAAAAAGAGGGCAAAGAGAAACAGAGAAAACAACCCGAAAGTGACATTCCAGACTGTTACTCATTAATCCCATAATGTTATCGCATCGGGCGCACTCACATGGGGCCGAGGGAGCTTGCTTGCAGCCATCGCGGGTTTGACGAGCCCAAGGGACGCTTGCAACCCCCAAAATGAAAGAACACTCGAAAAAATGGAAGATTGATGCCAGCTGAATGGGCCACCTCGCTCCACACGGGGCGTTCCACCACCCACCCGACCCCTACCCCCTTTTTTCGTTCTTCTCGCGTCGCCAGGTCGTCCCTTCTCGCAGGCTTTGTGCGGAGGCCAATGTCATGTGGCCGCTCGTTCTCCAGTAGGAAAAGTCATCCCCGAAGATAGGGGTTTGGCAAGACGGCTGGTATGGGGACGGGCTGGCGCCCACGGCGCCCACTTGTGGCGCTTGCCGTCCCTCCCCAGCATCAGGACGCGTAATATCTTCCCTGCTGCGGTGCAGAAAGCCTCCCTGTGGCTCACACAGCCCGCTTGCAGCGATATTCCGTTCGTCGCGATTTTTTTTTCTGCTCATTTGCCGTTGTGCTCGCATTTTCCCATAATGAGGGCTGGTTCTTGCCTGTTGCTCCAAGTACAGGCAGCCGGCTTGGCCTGGTTGGGCTGTGGCGGCTGTTCGCGAGCAGCGACGCGCAAGGCGCCCGGTCGCCACGCCAAGATGGGAAGGTCTAAGGTGGGAGCACCGTGGGCGCAGGAAGGCCGTGGGCCCCTGGATCCTTGCCTGGGCCCTTCCTCGGTTGCCGCCTGGGGAACGACTGAACGACCTCGTGTGGCTGCTTTCAGGAAATCGTGATCGACACGCGGGGCCACCTGCTGGGCCGCCTGGCGTCCGTGGTAGCGAAGCAACTGCTGCAAGGACATCACATAGTGCGTGCCGTTCACTGTCAGCCCCCCTCGCGCTTGTGGGGACGGCGTGTTTGCACCGCTGCTGGTTTGCGCACTGTGGGGGATTGACGTCGTCGGGGGCGGCCGCTTGCGCACCCCAAGCCACCTGATCTACAGGCAGGCGGCGCTTCAGTCGCTGCAACGCGCAGGCCATCGCCGCCGTGGTTATGGTTCCTGCATTTGCTGGGGTGGGATCTCTCAGCTTTGCTGCGTGTGCCTTCAGACCACGTCGTCAAGCACGTGTTGGCTGTGTGTTTAATCGCAGACTTGCGTGAGGTGCGAGGAGATTCAAATATCCGGAGGCTTGACGCGGCAGAAGATGAAGTTCGAGCGGTTCCTGAAGAAGCGCATGAACACCAAGCCCTCCAGGGGACCCATCCACTACCGGTCGCCTGCCCGCATCCTCTGGAGAACGACGCGGGGGTGAGTGAGCCAGCACAAGCACGACACGCCGCGCAGTGTGGCTCGGCCGCCACCGCTGGTCGAGATCGACGTGCACAAGTGGATCCGCAGCAAATCAACGGGCACACAAATCACGACTATCGGTGCCATCTGGTCTTCCCTTCCTGTCCTTTCTGCACCCCGTTCGGCGGGCTCGTTTGCGCATTGCCACCCGAATTCTGGATCTGGCTTTCTGAACTGTTGTGCGCTGTGGCGCGATTGTTGCGCCAGGATGCTGCCGCACAAGACCGTGCGCGGTGAAGCCGCCCTGAGGCGCCTGAAGTGCTTTGAGGGGATCCCGCCGCCTTACGACTGCCAGAAGCGCGTGGTGGTACCAAGGGCGCTGAAGGTCGCGCGGCTCAGGTTCCAGGCGAGAGTGTGCCACCTGGGGGAGCTCGCAACCTCGGTGAGGGCGCTGAAGCAGCTCTTGCTCTCAACACTTGTGCCAGCGATTCATGAAGAGGGATTATCCTGGGCCATTTGATGGGCAATCCCAGACAAGCATTGGGCTGCAGTTTTGCATGCTTTCAGACACCGCGCAGAAGTTGTTGCATGAATGAAGAATGAACCAACAATTGTGGCAGGCGGAAACCCGCATGCCTGTTGTCCTGACAGCCTGTGTTCCCCACACCCGGCCAAACTTGTTACTCTTTTGCAGTACAAGACAACTTACTCACCGGAGTGCAGTCAGATGCCATTACCACTGTAACACCACTTTGGACAGAGATCTGCGTACAGGCAGACCCAGACACTGGCTGGCTGATGTTGCATCGAGTGTTGAGAAGTGTTGAGCAGTCATTCCATGCATGTGTTCGTTGCTGTGGAAGTTGCGCTTCAACTCAGCAGTGGGGTAGCTTTGCCCTTTCTCTGTACAAGCTAATGTCCAGCAATTTGTGGTTGGAAAGTATGTTGTTTCTCTATTGGAATAACAACTGTGGACAAGGCTGAGCCTTCGCCAAGCGTCTTGGCAGTTATGCACCGCAGCTTCAGCCATAAAGACCCTGCAAGCTGTGCACTGTTTGCACCATTCTGCGGCAGCCACAATTGGCAGCAGGCTGCAGCAAGTTCCCAGCCAAATTCTGTTACGGCCAAATGCGATCTTGCATGACTGATGTGCAGGTCGGCTGGAAGCACAAGGATGCTGTTGGGTGTCTGGAGAAGGCAAGGATTGCTGAGGCCAGGATATACTACGAAAAGAAGAAGAAGCTGCGCCAGTTGAGGCGCAAGGCCATCGAGAAGGTTGACGGAACCTCGAAGTAGAGTAGCCACAGGTTTTGTGTTTGGTGTCTTGTATCTGGATGAGGGTGGCTGAGCAACATCAGCAGGGACAGTGATGCCCTTCCCTGCATACTGCGAGTTGGGGCGAGCGTTTGGCTGCAGGGAGTTTGGCCCATTGGTCCAAACGAGTGCCGTTGGACAAATTGGCAACGGGGGACTGTTGCACTTGCTGCTGCCATTGTGTACGGTCTTTCATACGAATACGGCCATTTGCAACGATGTTGCAGAACCTTGGCTCAAATCTACTCTGTGGGTAAGCTTGCTGACTGAATTCTGCACCCACATGTACAGGATTGCAGCTCCGGCGGTTGTATCGTTCCTTTCCCTTGCCATTTCATGGAACGTGCCTGTAGCACACGCTGTATTTTCGGTCAGGCTCTGTCACTCCGGAGGAACAGGGCTTATGTGGGCATCTGCAACGAAATCTGCAGATGCGCATCAGCAAGACAAGGTGTGCATTGCTTGTGAAAATGCAAGGTCTTTCATATGCCAGGCGCTCGGGCACAGCCTTCAGCATGTTTCACTCCTGCAAATGTGTTCCGGCGCCATACCTAGCTGCTGGCACAAATTCCAGTGGTGCGCGGACTCAACCATCGTGGTGACCATTGTGTCTCTGCCATGGACTATATGTCTCTTTGTCTCACTTGGCAACATTCCAGGGCCCTATTTGTCATGCACCCAGATCAGGCTGGGCCTTGCACCTGCACTCCAGGTATCTATTTCTTATTCCACAAACTGGCATCCCAGGCGTCCGTGGTCGGCTAGACACTGCTCACTCGACAAAGCTTTGCCTGCCTGTGCATTCGCACTGGGCCTTGAGTTTTCTGGCAATCTCAGTCATATCGCCAGTAAAATGCACCCTGCAGTGTTACGTGTACCGTGCAATTTTTGCTTAACAGAGGAGATTCTTCTGGACCCACCCCCCATACCCACCTTCTTTCTATTGATTTCCCTGTTTGTGTGGGCGGGGAGCGGGGGGAAGGAGGTGGAGCAAAGAGATGCACGCTATACACAGATAAGGACGTCTCTGGCACGACAATTCTACTTAATCCTTGGACCAAACACGAGTTTCCCGCAGGACAGGACAATATAACACTCCAGGCCAGTGTCCACCACCATCTAACGACGCGACCCCCAGGTACCCACTGAGCAGGGTCCATGGTCTGGCTTTTGCACCCTATTCTCTGAGTCAAGCCCAAGTCCTGGACTTGCTCCCTCTCCATCCCACAATTGACCGAACATCACATAGCAAGATCGGAACAGGGCGAGAGCGAGAAAAAGAGACTTGGGGACCGAAAGGGAAGCCTAAGTAGCCCCCCACTCTCCGCCCCTCGATACGCCCACCACCCAGGAGGGTGCCGGCCTTCCAATGCCCCTTCTTCAACGCATTGGAATTGCACTGACCCAAAGTTCAGCGGGAAAGGAACAGAAAACTCAGCCAGAAGTGGGGCTGCGCATTCGGCCGCCAACGCAAACAACCGGCGCACCTGCCCAACCTCGCCCTTGGCGGAAACCGCATAACAGGACACCGCGCAACGCAACCCGTCGTGTTTTATTACACCAACGTGTTTGGAAATTTCCTGGCTCGCAAATTTCGTCGATCTTGCGTTGACCTCACACACACCACATCTGCCAGTCAGCGCTCCCGGCCAACGACTCCGCCCGAAGAGGAGGCCCGTTCCGGAGGTGCCTGGCAATTCGGCCAGCCGCCCCAGCTCCCAGTTTCGGCCAGCGACGCGGCGCGAGCCAGCGCTCACGGTGAATACCTGCCGGTGACCGCCATGTCGTGGCAGACCTACGTGGACGACCACCTTATGGTGGAGCTGCCCGGCGGCAAGACCCTTGCCTCGGCGGCGATCATAGGGCTGGACGGCGGCGTGTGGGCCAAGTCGCCAGACTTCCCCGAGGTGTCGCCCGAGGAGGTCGAGGCCCTCATCCAGGGCTTCTCGGACCCCTCCAGCCTGGAGGAGAAGGGCATCGTGCTGCAGGGCACCAAGTACTTCACGATCCAGGGCGAGCGAGGCGTGGTGATCCGCGGCAAGAAGGGGGAGGCCGGTCTGACGATCAAGAAGACCAAGCAGGCGATGGTGGTGGGCGTCTACGCCACGGGCGTGCAGCCCGGGGAGTGCAACGTGGTGGTGGAGAACCTGGCGGACTACCTCATCGAGCAGGACTACTGAACACCCGCGGTTTGGGGCAAATGGACGGCCGGTGGCAGGGTGGGGATTGGGGCCTCTGGGGACATGTGCTGGTGGGGCTTAGGACCGTTTGATGATCCTTCTTGGGGAGGGTCAAGGAAGCGGGGAAGCCTGAAGGCTTGACCCAATGGGCTTGGTGGGGCGCTTTGCTTGGGGTCCGCGCTTGCAGGAACGGTTCGGCCCCATTGTTTGTTGGAGGTGGATCTGACCCGGCTGAGATGTTTCCCTGCATTCTCCGGTGGGGCTTACTGACCCGTGTACTCTGCGTTTCGGTTTCCGCTGCATGCTTCTTGGGCACCTCTTCACCCGGACTCACCACACTGTCGTTTTACATCATTTTCACCTTGTCGCCGTGTGCCTGCGGGGGGCGTTGGTGCCTCTGCGCGCCGTGCCGCCTCTTTGCCTGCATCCGGAGGGAACCGGACGCCGCTTGCGCTGGACGCGCGGCGACCCAGGCCCGCAAGGGGGCCGGCTCCCCGCCTTGCCCAGGTCAGTCTGCTGGCGGCTACTTCAACTGGGTTGCGGCGCTCCTGCCGCGCAGGTTGCCCACCGTTGCTGGTCACGATTTGCCCCGTCTTGTGCAAGCAGCGCCAGTGGCTATTCGCCCTGCCCTTGAGCCTTTCGACTTTGTCCAACAGACCAGAGCGAGAAGGTGGGGGCTGTCCCAGATTGCCAGGTTTCCAGCCCGTTAGGGAACAGACGTTGAGTCACTTTCACGCCCGCGGGGTCGTGGCACGATCCTGGGGGCATGATTCTGACTCGACATGTGCTCCCCAATTGGCTGGATATCTGGTAATCTTGGACAGCTCCCACCTTCTGGCGCTGGTCGGTTTGACAGTGGCTGACAATGTGGATGCCCAGCACAGAGCTCATGGTGTGCTCCTTTCATGCATGTGGGTATGTTGGTATGTGTCCAAATTGCTGGATGTCTAGCAGAAGTTGTAGCGAAGTGGTGCTCTATCCACGGGCTGTGGGGCGTGGGCCATTTCCAAGCTTGCTGTTGCAGGCCTCGTGGGTATGCTGTTGAAGCACCATTCGTCTATACTGGACTAAGCCAACTTGGTGAGTTGTTAAAATAGCAGGATTGCTGGAGGGGGGCTGTGTGGTTGCGAAACTTATATTGATGGTTGGCAGCTGTGGGATGCAGAGTCAGATTGGAAACTACTGTTGGCGGAGCCTGGGCTGCATGAGGGCCACTCCTCCAGGATAATTCCGTCATTCCCAAACAGTTCTAGCCATCCAGGCAGCTGTGAGGAACGCAGAGCTGGAATAGCATGGCAATTGAGTGGCACCATGTCTGCCATGCAAAATAAGCTGGTGTTGAGTGGAAGACTGCTCGTGGCTCAACTGCTTCTGTCTACACCTACAATACGTTTTTTGTTTTCATGGCTCCAAGTACTGATGCGCGTACGGTTTGCGGCACGTTATCACTGCTGACTGGCACATCCTGACCCGCTACCTGAATGCATCACAAGTGCCATTTCAAATTCACTGGAAACCTGAAGTTGAGAAATTTCAATGAGCATGGCTTTCGTAGTCTTCGGTGAAGAAAGTGCCAATGGCAACAACATATCCTGCGGTTTGAATTTGCGTTTTCAGCTGCATGTTGTGACATGTCAACACCATGCTGACGTGAAATCCTATTTCCGGATCTGACTCACGCCGTTGGCACATTGCCACAGCAAGGGCTGGTGCTACGGTCGTTTTGCTGGAATCGCAGTTTTCTTGCTGAAACTCATGAGCTCTTTAACTGTCAGTTTACTCTTAAATTGGAGTGCAGTGGCATTGGGGTTAAGCCCGAATGGCAAATCAAGAAAGCGAAACCGACCCACTTAAGCGTGTGCAGTTGCAGGGAGCTTGCAGCATCAATTCACGGAAACTGCCACGCAGCAGTGGCCGTTGCGAGTACTGCTATCTTTCTTTGCCCACAGCTGCCGCACTGTTGCGAGTATCCCTTCTGAGGTGAAGGCAGCCTGAACGATCAGCAATGCTGCACTTCTTATCCAATTTTGCTCCACAAGCCATTAGAAGATCTTGTGTCGACTCACAATGGCACTGGAGCCCCAATGCAGGCCTGTGCTTGGATGGCCTCAACCACAACAGGGGCGGATGCCAATGGCACGTGCCTTTAAAAGATGGACAAAGCGACCAGTCAGGACAGAAGCCATGCCAGCAGGCAAGACATTTGCACTCATCATCACTTAACAAGCCATCCAGGGAGGCACAGGCAGTACATTGGAGTGAAGTACACACTCTCCACGTCAGACCTTCCCCGTCGGTTGCACGTACGAGCGTGCTGGCAATTCGAGGAAAGCACAGTTGCGCATGAGATTTGAGACAATAAAAAAGGAAGGGACAATTTTGCGTCCCTTGGCAGTGTGAAACATCATTTGAAAGACCTGACGCTCTGAAACACATGTTTCAAATGGCACCAAAAAACGTGGAAATAGCCAGTGGTTGGACAGCGGAGAGGGAAAAAAGCTTTCTTGCCGGTGGAATTGGCCTTCAGGCCTCGAACGCAAGCAAAAACGAAGCGGGCGGTACCAAAGATGTGGTTCGCAATGTGCACTCCATCAGCTCGATGATAGCGAATTAAACCTTTTTCATAGGAGGTTGGATACTGGCTTTGTCCAAGTCCGTGACACCATGATGATTTAAGCTCTTTAGGGCTCGACTGGGCTGAATCTCGGCATGGTTTACCTCGACATTTCTTTGCTTTTTAATGTGTGGCCTTGATTTTGGGGGAGCTGTGTGACTCCAGCCCCCAATTGAGCTCGTTGTAATTTGCTTTACGTATGTCAGGTGGTTTCTCTTGCTCCCACAGAGACTTCAATGCCGCTTTGCATCTGGAGAACGGTGCAGCAATTAAAAATCCCAACGGAAAGGATTGTGGAAGACCACATGATGAGAGTTCAGCTTTAACTATACTAGCAGACCTGCAACACACTGCTGTTCGAGAACCATGATTGAATGTGGAGATGAAGGTGTAGTGAGATCGACGGGGTTGACATGCCGAACCAGGGGAGAAGCATCCATTTTCGAGTACACGATGCTGAGAAAAGCATGCGAACTTATTTTGCGTGGACTTTTTAGACAAAAGAACGAACCAAAATTTTGTTTCGTGTTTTCTTTAGGAACTGTTCTTTACATGTGCTTCAGTACTTCAGTCAGAAGTATTGACCATGGAGTGCTCTCGCAGGCTCTTTTTTTTGGCAGGCCAATGTCTAAATCAAGAACTAGGAATTCAACATGAATTACATCTGGACAAAGACTGCATCTGGACGGCGCAACAAGTAATCCAAGCGATAGGGGACGAGGAGCATTGTTGGCAGAATCCTCAGCCACTTCACAGGAATCCATGTTGTCCTTCACGAAACAACCACCCCTTGTTATACCCAGAGTTCAATATGGAGTCCAAACAATTATACCCCTTCTGATGCCTCAACAGGAGATTGGGCTGCCATGGAGGGAGTCCCTTCGCGGGTTAGAGTGCGTCTCATTTCTGCCTTACCGGTCTCCTTCAACCCACCCACCCCACCCCCACCCCAATCCCCCGTGTTCCCACACGACAAGACATTACACTCACAAACGTACTGATGTCGATCACCTCACTAATACAACACCTGATTGGCGATCCACTTGAAATGTGCCCTCCCTTCGCATAGTACTTAATGCCACACTGATGGTAGCTCAACCCTGAGTCAGCTCCCTTTTCCTCGTACTCAGCTCCCTCTCCGTCCCACAACTAACCAAAACTCACTCTATGAGGGTGGGCCGGGTGGGTGCGAAACAAGATAAAGGGGGCGCCAAGGGTTCACGACCAAATAGCCGTTCCCCCTTGGCGCCAAACTTCCAGCCAAACCCAAGGGCAAGCTTGACCGGTCCCCTTGTCTACGCCCAAGTTACAAGGATCACCCGGTAGCCCGTTGGATCCGGCGGTCAGAACTGACCCCGGGTACAGGGTGACAAAACCGGCGTTTGATGTCCCTGAAACGGCCCAGAAAGGCAGCCCGGCCCAGCATGGCTAGCGCGCACCCACCCAACGTCGTCCTTGCCAAAAACTCATTAACAAGATAGTTAATTATATCTACACACAAGCCAGCCGCTGTGAGCGGTGCGGCCATCTCTTTCCTGCGGGTCGGCTTGCTGTCCATGGTGTCCGTTAAGTGTTTACCAACTGGGGGCACACCTGTAGATGCACTATTCATTGATGTCCAAGGCGATTCCTTCGCTCGGCGGAAGTCCACATGGTCCAAAGACGGTCGTTTTCGCAGCAACATCAAAATTCGAGGTTTTCTGTTGCAGGAACTTTGCTGCGAAGAGCTGCCAAATCCGCGCCACATAATCGATTGAGTTGATCCTCGACACTACACTCCGCACATATAGGTATGACTTTGGACAAAGTTTCACTGTAAATTGAAGCCTCAACGATATCGTCGAAAAGGCAGCAATGAAGGCACCCCCATCGACAGAGAAAGGGTGCGATTAGATTTCAATGAACCAATCACCGAATCTGCCTTGCTCAGGCAAAATAGGAAGTAGACGGCTTCCTCATTGCCTTGTTCTGTAAAAAATAATGCTGATGATGATGATGATGATGACAGGGTGCGCCAAAGTCGCAAATGACAGAATGATAGAAGACAAACTTTTCCTGTCTCTCCTTAGGAATATGTTCGCTCATTTGCGAATTGTTTCTTTTTGAAAAAACCAATTCAAAAATGAAGAACAGAACACTAAGTTCATTTCTTTCCTTGACTTCTTCTCTGGGCACTTTGTCAAATCTACTTTCGCAAAACGATCGAGAAGATTCATGGCAATAAGTCTAACAATAGTTGAGTAAATTAAATTTTCAATCCATTGCACATTGCATCAATTGCCATGGCATATTCCTATTGTCCCCATGAGGAAAACATTCACGTGGTACAGCTGCCACGGCAAGAGGTGCACCCTAGCCACGCTGTTGTACGCGCAAGACCCTCCAA